GAAGCCAAGCCCCTTCCAGGGTCCCTCTGAGGACTGTGCAGCCAATGGCCCAACTGAAAGCAGCCCTAACCCCCCAGGCCCTGCCCCAGCCAAGGCTGAAAACGAAGAGGCTGCGGCTTGTCCTGTCTGGGAACGTGGAGCCTGGCCTGAAGGAGCTGAGAGGAGCTCCCGGCCTGACACACTGCTCTCCCCTGAGCAGCCACTGTGTCCTGCAGGGGGCTCCAGGGGTCCATCCAGCAGTGCCTCTCCCGAGGTCGAAGCTGGGCCCCAGGGATGTGCCACTGAGCCCCGGCCCCATCGTGGGGAGCTCTCCCCATCCTTCCTGAACCCACCTCTGCCCCCATCCACAGATGATAGCGACCTCTCAACTGAGGAAGGTCAACTAGTAGGAAGAGGGGGGCGGCGTCGGGCAGGAGGGCCAGGGACCACGGGGGGCCCATGCCCTGTGACTGATGAGACACCCCCCACATCAGCCAGTGACTCAGGCTCCTCACAGTCAGATTCTGATGTCCCGCCAGAAACTGAGGAGTGCCCATCCATCACAGCTGAGGCAGCCCTCGACTCAGATGAAGACGGGGACTTCCTGCCTGTGGACAAAGCTGGGGGTGTCAGTGGTACTCACCACCCCAGGCCTGGCCATGACCCACCCCCTCTCCCACAGCCAGACCCCCGCCCATCCCCTCCCCGCCCTGATGTGTGCATGGCTGACCCTGAGGGGCTCAGCTCAGAGTCTGGGAGAGTAGAGAGGCTACGGGAGAAGGAGAAGGTTCAGGGGCGAGTAGGGCGCAGGGCCCCAGGCAAGGCCAAGCCAGCGTCCCCTGCACGGCGTCTGGATCTTCGGGGAAAACGTTCACCCACCCCTGGTAAAGGGCCTGCAGATCGAGCATCCCGGGCCCCAGCCCGACCACGCAGCACTACAAGCCAGGTCACCCCAGCAGAGGAAAAGGATGGACACAGCCCCATGTCCAAAGGCCTAGTCAATGGACTCAAGGCAGGACCGAGTACGTATATCATGAAACGTGGCAGAGAGTGTGGGTTAGGGCTGGGTGTGGCTGGTCAGACTCCAGGAGTGGGAAAGAGGGGAAGGTTGCCAAAAGGGTTCCACTTTTCCTCTACAATGAATCCTGGCTTGTCTCTACAGTGGCCTTGAGTTCCAAGGGCGGCTCTGGTGCCCCTGTATATGTGGATCTCGCCTACATCCCGAATCATTGCAGTGGCAAGACTGCTGACCTTGACTTCTTCCGTCGAGTGCGTGCATCCTACTATGTGGTCAGTGGGAATGACCCTGCCAATGGAGAGCCAAGCCGGGCTGTGCTGGATGCCCTGCTGGAGGGCAAGGCCCAGTGGGGGGAGAATCTTCAGGTGAGTAGCAAAGGACACCAAGGAAGTAGTCTGGTCAAAGCTCACTCAAAAGGCAATAGTGGAACACAGTCCCTATTTATTAAAGCATGGGCCTTTTCTAAGGGCAGCAGGGCTGCTTCTGAGACCATCGGGTGCCTCTTCCCCCTCACCTACCTTCCCTTCATGTTCTCACATCAGGCATGTCTTATCTCCCTCCTAGGTGACTCTGATCCCTACTCATGACACGGAGGTGACTCGTGAGTGGTACCAACAAACTCACGAGCAGCAGCAGCAACTGAACGTCCTGGTCCTGGCTAGCAGCAGCACCGTGGTCATGCAGGATGAGTCCTTCCCTGCCTGCAAGATTGAGTTCTGAAAGAGCCGCCCTCCCTTCCCCAAGGATCCACTCCCCCAGCTCCTTTAGAGAATGGCTACTGCTGAGTCCTCTGGGGTTGAGGGACATGGGAGCTAGGGGGAGGGGAGGGAGATGTCTTGTTGTGGGGACTTGGGCTGGGCTAAGTGGGAGGGGTTGTCCCTCCCCATCATCCATTTCTGAGAGGGGTCTCAAACCAAAGTTAACAGGGAGAGGATGGGGGAGGGGAAAAATTAGAATAAGATAGCATCTGATGCCTGAGAACCCTCTCCTAGCACTGTCAAATGCTGGTATTGAATGGGGACTGAGGATGGGTCTCAGAGAGCAACCTCCTCCCTCGTAGAGGGAGATTATATCCCCAACTCCAGGGACCTCTTTATCTCAATCTATTTATTTGGCATCCTGGGAAGGATTTCCAATAGTAATTTATGTGACCTGGGGGCAGGATACTGTCAGTGAGGTGCCCAGAGCTGCATCCTTTTCTCCATTTCCCATCCCCCATCTCCTCACCCACCAGGGTCTGAATTCTAGCAGGGGCCTGGGGGTATACCACTGCTACACTGTTCTATTGCTTCCCTCAGTATCTGAATGTCTCAATTTAAAACTTGAAGCTCTTTAGACCAACAGACTGGTGAGAGGAGAAAGGAGCTTATCCCCCAGCCCCTGCTTTATACCATTCACATCCCAGGGCTGTGTCCAGACAGCACAAAAGGGCAAGGAGAGCCCAAGCCCCAATGCCAGAATTCTTCCAAACTCCCTGACTCTCTGAAGTTTTTACTCACCCTGTTTCAATTATCCTGATCCCTTCTCATCCCCTGCTTGGCTTCTGTGCATGTGGTCATCTGCTGTGGCCTGGTGTGTAATGGGTTAAAAATAAGCCACTGCCTGACATCCCAACAGTTGACACCCCAGCAATGTGTGACTCCCCCAACATTCCACTGTGCCATCCTGCAGCTGAAATGGGAACACTGGCTGCCTCTCCAAACCTGCTCTTGGACAGAGGATCTGGGAGGTGGAGGCCAGGCCAGAGGACTTAGGGAAAATGAGAGGGAGGAAGGAAAAAGGGAGAAGCTGAGCCATAGCTTAACTCCTAGAGTGAAATGAAAACGGGCTGAAAATACCACCCCAGGAGAGGCCCTCACCCCAAGCAAGCCAGTGAGCAGCCCTGCCAGACTACTGCCAGACTGAGAAACCCAGAAGCTGGTAGTCATGTGGGCTTACCTTCTCTGCCAAACGACTGGGAAACCAAAATGAGCCCACCTTGTGTTCTTCCTAGCTCCACCCTCCCCGTGCTGCTGTGCTCTGCTCCTCCCCACACTTCCCTGCTATAGTTCCCAGCTGCTGTAACGGAGCCACCTCCAACTCTAACAATAAACCCAGTTCATTGCAGATGATGTAGTGCCGCTTAGGCTTTTTCTGACTCCATACATGCTTAGTTACTGGGCCCCGGTTTCCACCTCTCTGCTTCAACCAGTCTTGAATTTATCTTGGAAGACTCCAATGCTTTTGATTACTGGAAACACTTGTGCCTGAGTATGGAGAATAGGAGCCTAGGGTGGGTACATACGTCTGGTTTGGGGGAAGGGAAGAGGAGCAGGGGGCCTCCTGGGGAGGAGATATGCATTCCATGGGGTCAAGAATTAAGGACCAAACAACCAGGATCAGATACCCTGGACAGCCTCTTGGGCTAAAGAGGTAAGAAGATGAAGGACCCTAAGAGATCCAGAGCCTAATGAGGTTGGAAACGACTCTCCTTGTGCAGTCAGGATTTCCGTGGAGTAAAATGGTCGACTTTTCTCCTCCATGGAAACCCTTTATAGTCCTAAGTATGTCAGAAGTGGCCAGGCTGAATGTGTATATTTGGGGAGGGGCATATTCTAGCCCTCCCACTGTTCTGGGCTCTCTCATGGTAAAGATGTCAAGGGAGCAGAGAAAGGGCATAACCCCTTTATATAAACTCCTCCTGACACTCCAGAGTGAAAAATTAACAGGATGATTCCAAGAACTTGGTGAGAAGGCATGTACCCTCTGGCACTTCACAGAGAGGGAAACTCTTTCCAGTCCCCCATCCAACACTCGACTTACTCAATAAAGACCTTCTGGGGACCAGACATGGTGGCTCACACCTGTAATCCCAGCACTTTGGGAGGCCAAGGCAGGCAGACCATCTGAGGTCAGGAGTTCGAGACCAGCCTGGCCAACATGGCGAAACCCTGTCTCTACTAAAAATACAAAAAAATTAACTGGGTGTGGTGACAGGCACCTGTAATCCTAGCTACTCAAGAGGCTAAGGCAGGAGAATCACTTGAATCCAGAAGGCGGCAGTTGCAGTGAGCTGAGATTGCGCCACTGCACTCCAGCCTGGCGACAGAGCGAGACTCTGTCTCAAAAAAGAAAAAAAACAAACAAACCTTTTGAGATAGTGGGTTAACTGCTGTAGGCACCTCTTGGGATGCCTGATCTCTGTTTTTTTGTTTTTTTTTTTTGAGACAGAGTCTCAATCTGTTGCCAGGCTGGAGTGCAGTGGTGCGATCTCAGCTCATTGCAACCTCTACCTCCTGGATTCAAGCAATTCCCTTGCCTCAGCCTCCTGAGTAGCTGGGATTACAGGCATATGCCACCATGCCCGGCTAATTTTTATATGTTTAGTAGAGATGGAGTTTCACCACGTTGGCCAGGATGGTCTCAATCTTTTGACCTCGTGATGCACCCACCTTGGCCTCCCAAAGTGCTGGAATTACAGGTGTGAACCACCGTGCCCAGCTGACCTCTATATTTTTATAGTCTATTTTTGGATGCCTGATCTCTGTATTTTTACAGCCCACTCCTGCTCAATTATAATGGCTTTTGACTGATTCAGATCAGTTATAGACACAATTGACTCACATGACTCACAGTCATATATATATATATATATATATATATATATATATATATTTTTTTTTTTTTTTTTTGAGACAGAGTCTTGCTTTGTTGCCCAGGTTGGAGTGCATTGGTGTGATTTCAGCTTACTGCAACCTCCGCCTCCAGGGTTCAAGTGATTCTCCTGCTTCAGCCTCCTGAATAGCTGGGATTACAGGTGTCCACCACCATGCCTGGCTAATTTTTGTGTTTTTAGTAGAGACAAGGTTTCACCATGTTGGCCAGGTTGGTCTCCAACTCCTGACCTCACATGATCTGCCCACCTTGGTCTCCCAAAGTGCTGGGATTACAGATATAAGCCACTGTGCCCAGCCCATATTCATTCTTGAATTCACAAGGACATCACCATCATCCATCACCATCATTCTCATTATTTCATATTTATTGAGCACTCATAATGTTCCGGCCCCTGACTCCAATGACCATATTACCCCTCCTACCCACTCCCATTCCCATCCCTGGATCTTTGGAAAAAGCTTCATAATCATATCTGGCCCTCAGATACAATGATATAAGGACAAATTTCTTGGGGACCCTGGAGTGTTTGGTCTTTGGCCAGTCTGTCCCTGGCACAACTACAGAAATATATATATATATATACACACACACACACATCTATATGTGTATATATATATTTATATTTATTTATTAAACCTTTGCTTGTATCTGTACAATACTGATCTCTGCTCATTGCTTAAAATAGAACCTGATTATCTCTACTACTACAGTATCTCCTAAGCCAAACAGCCCACCACAGAGGGAGGCCCAGTTTCACAGACTGGCTAAGAATCCTCTAGAGCATTTTAAGTAGTTGCTTTGAATTTTGTACAGCAGTTTAATACCTACTTTTCCCTAGAGCTATTGCCCAGAGGAACAGGACTGAGGCAGAAGGGGCACTTGGGGATGATATGGAAAGATCTATAAGGCAAGTCTAAAGATTTAGTGGCCATGACAGATGTTTGGGGAGGGGACTGTATTTTCCAGACATTTCAGATAGCCATCCTGGGCTCACCTGAGGAGTGCTGGCAAAGACAAGAGTCCCCCGAATGCACATATGGTCTAAGCATACCTTGAGAAGTCGTGACTATTTCCCCAGAAAAGTGAAGACCCTAGAGTCCCCTCTTTTGCATTTGCTGTCCCCAGATGGTGTCTTCAGCAGTGAAGCAGCATTTCCTTTAACAATCTATGATTTCCTAGGATGCTCAGAGAAGGCTGGGTAATGAGAGACCAACCCACCCCAAGGAAATCCTATTCAAGTTTAATGGTTAGGTGAAGAGCCAATGGCTTCTTTGAACCTAAAACTGGCTCCTCCTTAAGCACAGCTCTGGCACAGGTATGCTTCATACCAAGAGAACTACTTCCCCAGACACTGCTGGTGAGAGCTGGCCAGTGAGTTAGCCAACAGAAAAGGTTGCTGGCTCAAATGGCTGGTATAGTGTGACACCACTAATGAGAAAATTAATCACATGTTGCTGGTGGAAGGGGTGAGTGCTGGTCATGGGCTAGAGACTGGCTCTGAGGGTTTGGACCACTAGATAGATGCTGGGCTTGAGGAATACCCTCTCCAAGCAGCTGATGGATCACCTCAGGGACCACCCAGGACTTCTAATTTATCTCCTCAGGGACCTCCTGGGCCTGTAGATCAATCTCCTCAGGGAACTCTTGGGATGGTTTATCAATCTCAGGGATGCCCTGAGATAACAGACTGATCGCAGAAGGCTCCTGGGCCAGCCTGCCAACCTCCACAGAGAACTCCTGGTGTGGCTGGCTGACCTCCTCAGGGATCTCTTCAGCTGGGCTGCCAACTTCTACAGGGGTTTCCTGGACCAAGCCACCAACCCCTACATGGGACCTATGGACCAGCTTGCCAGCCTCCACAGAGACCCCCTGGCATGGCTGGCTGACCTCCTCGGGGTTCTCCAGACATAGCTGGCAAACTTCCTCAGAGACTTTCTGGCACAGTTGGCTGGCCTTCTGGCATGGCTGGCTGATCTGAGGGACCTCCTGGCATGTGTGGTTACCATTGTCATGGTTCTCCTGGCATTGCTGGCTGATGTCAGGGACCTCCTGACATGGCTGGCTGACCTCCTCAGCCACCTCCTTGTATGGCTGGCTGGTTTCCACAGGTGGCACCTGTGGGGACTGATTTGGTTCAAAAATCTCTTGTTTCCCTTCTATGGAGAGCTCTTGTGCTCCATTCCCAGGGGTCTCCCGGAGCAGCCCAAGGCATTGATGTTCTTCAGTCACGTGTGAATTTAGGGAGGGTTGATCACTGAAGCCAAATTGGGAGTTACCATCTACTGTAGTAGGGGAAGAAGGACCAGCACTGGACACAGTGCTAGAAGGGCCACTGCTGTCTGTAAAGCAAAGTCAAGAGATCAAGTCAGAGAAGCTGGAAGAGTAGGCTCTACCCTGTGCAGATAGTTCAAATGCTAGAATGGTTGGCCTATGCTACTTATGTCTTGAGGGAAGAGTGTCTGAATTCTTCCTAAGTTAAGCAAAGACTCCTAAGTTTGCTTAGCTCAAGAACTGTCACCCTGGCCTAATGTATACTTTGAGAGTAACAATAAGGTACGTATAAGACTTCAGGAGAGAGTACTAAGACCCACTTCATCTGGTTCTTTCACAAATACACTCCCATCAGAATTCCAAGTTCCCAAGGCCTCTCATTCCTACTTTGGAAGCATATGAATACTTTAGCCCAGTGATTCATAATCAAAATCATGAAAACATTTTTTAAAATGCTAATTTCCAGTTTTCAACTCCAGAGATTCTAATTCTATAGGTTTAGTGTAAAGGTGTAGCTTGGAGGAGGGAGGAGGATGAAGGCAATATAATTTTGTTGGAACACTCCCAGTTGATTCTGATGTACACCTTCTGTTAAGAATCATTCTTTAAAGCAATCAATGTATTTCTGGGGCAGAGGTAATCATTATTTATAGCCCAAATGATAAGTTGGCAGGAGAATGTAGAAAAACCATGTAAATCAGAACAATAGGAAAGAAAATGGTTTACCTGGCTGGGTGCGGTGGCTCACGCCTGTAATCCCAGCACTTTGGGAGGCCGAGGCAGGCAGATCACTTGAGGTCAGGAGTTCAAAACCAGCCTGGCCAACATGGCGAAACCTTGTCTCTACTAAAAATACAAAAATTAGCCAGGCATAGTGGCGGCTGCCTGTAATCCCAACTACTCAGGAGGCTGAGGCAGGTGAATCACTTGAACCCCAGAGGTGGAGGTTGCAGTGAGCTGAAATCATGCCACTGTGCTCCAGCCTGGGTGATAAAGCAAGACTCCATCTCAGAAAAAAAAAAAAAAGAAAATGGTTTACCCAAAAACGGAAGACGGCCATGGAATTTCTACATGGCAGTTCTTAACCTTTCTAGGGATCAGTGGCCCCTTTGAGGTGCTAATGAAAGTCCAGGAAAAATGTATATAAGAATATTCACACTAATCTTTACATGTGATTCCTGAAGCTCATAGACTGTACCCTGAAACCACATCTATGGATCCAGGGTTAAGACTCTTGTAAGTCTTGGGACATACAATGAATGTTACAGGCTTGTGCAAATTATATACACAGAAAACATTAAAAAACTGATTTCCTAGATCCTGACAGTAGTGTAATAAAGACCTCAGAGTCTTCAATTACACTGTGGGATGATTCCTACTCCATCCGCTACTGCTTCATTGACCTCTAGTATGGGACTAACCTACTTCTCCCTTGGTAAAAATCATTTTTATTGATAATATTATAACGATATATTAAAGTACTATGGTATCAATAATGACAGAATCTGGGAAAAGGGGACATCGGAACATATTGCCATTGAAAAAAACCTCGAAAAGTTGGTAAACCTGAGCCTACAAAGGCTCAATCCATCATTGAGTTGAAGGTATGCTAGTTATCTCTCTTCTGTAAAGAATCAAAGGAGGGGCCGGGGGCAGTGGCTCACGCCTGTAATCCCAGCCCTTTGAGAGGCCAAGGTAGGCAGATCACAAGGTCAGGAGTTCGAGACCAGCCTGACCAATATAGTAAAACTCCGTCTCTACTAAAACTACAAAAAAAAAAAAAAAAAAAAAAAAATTAGCTGGGCGTGGTGGCACATGCCTGTAATCCCAGCTACTCAGGAGGCTGAGGCAGGAGAATCACTTGAACCCGGGAGGCAGAGGTTGTAGTGAGCTGAGATCACACCATTGCACTCCAGCCTGGATGACAGAGCAAGACTCCACCTCAAAAAAATAATAATAATAATCAAAGGAGGCATGCTTCAAGCAGAGTAAGAGGCCAGGTGCGGTGGCTCACGCCTGTAATCCCAGCACTTTGAGCGGGTGGATCACTTGAGATCAGGAGTTCGAGACCATCCTGGCCAACATGGCGAAACCCTATCACTACTAAAAATATAAAAATTAACCAGGTGTGGTGGCATGTGCCTATAATCCCAGTTACTCGGGAGGCTGAGGCAAGAGAATCACTTGAGCCCGGGATGTGGAGGTTGCTGTGAGTCGAGATCACGCCACCGTACTCCACCCCGGACCAAAACAAACCCCCAAAAAAAAAAAAAAAAAAAAAAAAAAAGAGAAGATCATGGTTTTGAACCAACAAGCCTTTAAGAGATGTGGAGCCTATTTCTGGTGCAGATATACAGACCCGAAAGAAGATGTTTACCAGTGAGGCTACACACCTGATACTGAGTCAAAAATCTGATACTAGATGGAAAAAAAGAAAAAGAAAAGATGTAAGCTGAGCTTTACCCAAGTAAAGAAGTAGCCTTAATATCCTGCTAGTGGTCTGATTCAGGCAAATCAAAAAGGTCAAACAGAAACAGAAGAGGGAGAAAGGTAAGATTTCCAGGGGCACAGAACTCATAAACACTCCAGGAAACAGGTAAAAAGGGCAATGGCAAGGTGAGTGTAGGATAATCTGAAATTCAGGGGAGGAATTCTTGGTGTCAGAGAGGAAAGTTTCTTTTTCAAACAGGGTGCCAGAAAAAGGGCAAAATTCTACAACTGTTAAGTCCAATGCTGAATGAAGTAAGAATCTTTACTTTGGTCCTATCCAAGTAAAATAATGAAAGGCATGTTTGATTTCAGTTATTCCCCAGAGGCAGGATGATACTTCACCAGTGCCTCTGGCCCACATCCCCACCTCCAATTACCACCAGTAGCGCCTCCTCTCTATGGTCACTCTAACAATTCTGTGTGGCTCCACTGTTCACATTGTTACCAAAAACAACTAGTGATAGATTATAGATAATAAACAAGAGATGGGAAAAAGCAGCACCTCAACTTAAACTAAAAACTGAAAACAGACAACAGAGAGAAGGGTCATGTAAAAATAAGTAGCAGATTCTAGTCTCTCCTGCTCCCAGCCTTTTCTGTTTGTTTGTTTGTTGTTTTTGAAACAGAGTCTTACTCTGTCCCCCAGGCTGGAGTACAGTGGCGCGATCTCGGCTCACTGCAAGCTCTGCCTCCCGGGTTCACGCCATTCTCCTGCCTCAGCCTCCCGAGTAGCTGGGACTACAGGTGCCCGCCACCACGCCCGGCTAATTTTTTGTATTTTTAGTAGAGATGGGGTTTCACCGTGTTAGCCAGGATGGTCTTGATCTCCTGACCTCGTGATCCACCTGCCTTGGCCTCCCAAAGTACTGGGATTACAGGTGTGAGCCACTGGGCCCGGCCTCCTGCTCCCAGCTTTTCTAAATATCTAAGTTGTCTGCTAGTCATCTTTACCAGAGAATGCTGTAGAGATCAAATAGGGATCAAAGGAGAATGAAGTCTCCATTCTTTCTTCCCCAAAGGGCCCTTTGAGTAATCCCAGCTACTCAGAAGGCTGAGGCAGGAGACTTGCTTGAACCCGGGAAGCAGAGGTTGCGGAGAGCCAAGATCGTGCCTGGGCAACAAGAGCGAAATTCCATCTCTCAAAAAAAAAAAAAAAAAAAAATTATTCCTAATACTGCAGAAAAGCTTCTCTCCAATGAAATAGAAGGAACATGGAGAACAGAGGTAAAGAGAGAATAAACAGATTCTCCTTTCATCTTAGAAATGGCAGATGAGACTGCTTCCCAGAATGGATACTCCTGGTCGTTCAACCCTCACCTTCTTTTACCTCATGCAACAGGCCCCTCATTCACCAATCACTCCATTCTTCTTGACTTTTGTCTAGGCAGTTCCAAAAGGATTACTTACACCAAGGGGGCTTCTCAGAGCGCTGCTGGAGTTGTAGGGGAGGTGAATGAAGAGTACGTGGTGGAGAAAATGGGTTATCTGAGGCCTGGCTGCTGTGCATGGAATCAAAGAGGGCTGGAAAGGAGGTAGGGTGAAGGGAGAGGGAAGAAAAAAAGACATTTGAGGAAGAATCCAGGAGCCATAGGTTCTTAACATAAGTCAAAGCCAACTTACCCTTCCTTGGCTGAGAAATAGCATTTCCTGGGGACCCTTCAACCAAACCATTTTCAATTTTTTAAATTTTATATTATGAACATTTCAAACATACATTTTTAAAAAGTAGTTGAAAGACTGGTGCATCCAATGCCCATATACCCGTCTCCTAGATTTAACACATTGACATTTTTGCCATACTTGTTTCATCTATTTCTGCATGCTAAAGTGTTTTAAAATAAATGATAAACATTATGAAACATGTCACCTCTAAATACTTCAAAATGCATCTCTAAAATATAAGAAATGGCTGGATGCAGTGGCTCATGCCTGTAATCCCAGCACTTTAGGAGGCTGAGGTGGGTGGATCACTTGAGGCCAGGAGTTCGAGACCAGCCTGGCCAACATGACAAAACCCCATCTCTACTAAAAATACAAAAATGAGCCGGCATGGTGGTACATGCCTGTAATCCCAGTTATTCGGGAGGCTGAGGCTTAAGAATCGCTTGAACCTGGGAGGCAGAGGTTGCAGTGAGCTGAGATCTCACCACTGCACTCCAGCCTGGGGCACAGAATGAAACTCTGTCTCAAGAATAATAATAATAATAAAATATAAGAATTTTTTCCAGCTGGGTGTGGTGGCTCATGCCTGTAAACCAGCACTTTGGGAGGCCAAGGTGGATGGATCACTTGAAGCCAGGAGTTCAAGACCAGTCTGGTCAACATGGAGAAACCATGTTTAGGTCTCTACTAAAAATATAAAAATTAAGGCCAGGCGCAGTGGCTCACACCTGTAATCCCAGCACTTTAGGCAGCCGAGGCAGGCAGATCACGAGGTCAGGAGTTCAAAGACCAGCCTGACCAACATGGTGAAACCCTGTCTCTACTAAAAATACAAAAATTAGCTGGGTGCAGTGGCGCATGCCTGTAATCCCAGCTATTTAGGAGGCTGAGGCAGGAGAATCGCTTGAACCCGGAAAGCAGAGATTGCAGTGAGCCAAGATCACATCATTGCACTCCAGCCTAGGCGATAGAGCAAGACTCTGTCTCAAAAAAAAAAAAAAAGAAAAAGAAAAAAAATTAGCTGGGTGTGGTGGTACATGACTGTAACCCCAGCTACTTGGGAGGCTGAGGCACGAGGATCACTTGAACCCAGGAGGCAGAAGTTGTACAGTGAGCAGAGATTGTGCCACTGCACTCCACCAAGGGCAACACAGAGAGACTCTTATCTCAAAAAACAAAAACAAAAACAAAAACAAAAAAAACAAGGAAAGATATACATAAAGAATTTTTTCCAACATAGCCAAATACCATTAACAAGCTAAACAAAATTAAAAATTATTCCCTAGTATTATTCAATACCCAGTCCATATTCAAAATTTCCCAATTATTCCCCCAAATGTCATTTATAAAAGCATCCAAACATGAACCATGCACTGCATCTTATGTCTTTGAAGCCTCTTTTAATCTAGAATAGTGCAGCCTCTCCTTTTTTTCATAGTAACTTTTTTGAGACAGGGTCTCGCTGTCACCCAGGCTAGAGTGCAGTGGCGCGATCTCGGCTCACTGCAAGCTCCGCTTCCCGGGTTCATGCCATTCTCCTGTCTCAGCCTCCTGAGTAGCTGGGACTACAGGCGCCCGCCACCATGCCTGGTTATTTTTTTTGTATTTTTAGTAGAGACAGGGTTTCACCGTGTTAGACAGGATGGTCTCGATCTCCTGACCTCGTGATGTGCACCGCGCCTGGCCAGCTCACTGCAGTCTTTACCTCTTGGCTCAAGCGATCATCACACCTCAGCCCCTTGAGCAGCTGGGACTCAGGCACATACCACCACTCCTGGCTAATTTTTTGTATTTTAGTAGAGGTGAGATAGGTTTTACCATGTTGCCTAGGCTTATCTTGAACTCCTGGGCTCAAGCAATCTGCCCGCCTCAGTCTTCCAAAGTGTTAGGATTACAGGTGTGAGCCACCATCCCCAGCCCATAGTAACTTTTTGAAAAGAAGGCCAGGCATGGTGGCTCATGCCTGTAATCCCAGCACTTTGGGAGGCCGAGGCGGGTAGATTGCTTGAGGTCAGGAATTTGAGACCAGCCTGGCCAATAAGGAGAAACCCCATTTCTATTAAAAATACAAAAATTAGCTGGGCGTGGTGGTGGGCACCTGTAATCCCAACTACTCGGGAGGCTGAAGCAGGAGAATCACTTGAACCTTGAACCTAGGAGGTGGAGGTTGCAGTGAGCCAAGATCATGCCACTGCACTCCAGCCTGGGCAACAAAGCAAGACTCCATCTCAAAAAAAAAAAAAAAAAAAAAAAAAAAAAAAAAGAGAAAAGAGAAAAGAAGAAAGAACACGCCAGTTGTCTTTGCAGAAGGTCATGTCCCACATTCTGGACTTGTCTGATTGTTTCCACAAAAAATCATTTAACTTATTTCACTATCCCTTGTATTTCCTATTAACTGGAAATTAGATCTAACTTAGCTGATTTATTTTAAATAATTTTGTTAAGAATACTTTAAGAGGTGATCCCATGTACTATATATTGCATCATAGTGGAGGCATATTGTCTCATTGTTCCATTATAAGTGAGGCTAAGTTTACTAACTAGGTTAAGGTGGCACCAACAAGATCTCACTGTGAAGTTTTCCCCTTCTGATTAGGAGTGATCCTTTGAGGAATGTCTAGTTCTCCACCATCAACTGGCATATTTTCCATAAAGAACTTTCCTTCTGCAAATGGGACTATTTGATTATACTGAACTACAGTTCTCACTGAAAAGGCAGAATATTTATTTCCCTTTAATTGGTTTTCAGAGTAGAGAGTGTGAAAAATATTCTCCAATAGTGACGGATGAGTATTAATTTGTTTTATTTATTTAATTTTTTGGGGGGAGACAGTCTTCCTCTGTCACCCATGCTAGAGTGCAGTGGTACAATCACAGCTCACTGCAGCCTCAAACTTCCAGGTTCAAGTGATCCTCCAACCTCAGCTTCCTGTAGTTGGGACTACAGGTGCATAGCACAATGCCTAGCTCATCTTTGTATTTTTGCAGAGATGGGGTTTCACCATGTTGCCCAGGCTGGTCTTGAACTCCTGAACTCAAGTGATTCCCCTCTCAAGTGATTCCTGCCTCGCCTCCCAAAGTGCTAGGATTACAGGTGCGTGAGCCACCTCACCCAGCACCCAGCTCTTGTTTTCATTCATTATGAGCTTATGGATTTTTATTATATATATTCAGTGTGTGTGTGTGTGTGTGTCTTTTTCTTAGAGACAGGTCTTACTCTGTCACCCAGGAAGCAGAAAATGCGATGCTATAGTCTACTGCAGCCCCAAACTCCTGGGCTCAAGCAATCCTCCAACATCAGTCTACTGAGAAGCCAGGACTATAGGTGTGCCACCATGCCTGGCTACTTTTAAATCTCTTCTTAGAGATAAGATCTAGCTATGTTGCTCAGGCTGGTCTTGAACTCCTGAACTCAAGTGATTCTGCCTCGGCCTCCCAAAGTGCATAGGATTACAGGTGCGTGAGCCACCTCACCCAGCACCCAGCTCTGTTTTCATCTATTATGAGCTTATGGATTTTACATATATATTCAGTGTGTGTGTGTGTGTGTCTTTTTCTTAGAGACAGGGTCTTACTCTGTCACCCAGGCTAGAATGCAGTGATGCAAGCATAGTTCACTGCAGCCTCAAACTCCTGCCCAAGCAATCTCCAACATCATCTACTGAGTAGCTAGGACTATAGGTGTGTGCCACCATGCCTGGCTACTTTTTAAATTTTCTTAGAGATAAGATCTAGCTATGTTGCCCAGGCTGGTCTCAAACTCCTAGGCTCAAGCGATACTCCCACTTCAGCCTCCTGAGTAGCTACATTCAGCATACTTTAATCAACTACAGTAATTATTCTCTCAAATGCTCAAATTGTCCCAATTTTGGTCACTGGGAGCCTCTTTGGGGTTGACTGCTTCCTTACTTTCCTTTACAACATGCTGCAAGATCATCCTGGGCTTTCTTTGCCCTCAACCATGCATTCTAAACAAAACTGGTTTTTGGTGGGGGTAAAAAAATCTTAGCTATTCCAATGGTTTATGGTCCACCAAATGGTCACAATACATAAACAGATATATGATATATCTGTGGTGTTAAATTTTCATGTGGTAGGAGGTAACCAGGGAAAAAAATTCTAAAAAAAACTCCTGGGATGGAGAGTAATTTTTAAAAAGTTTTAAAAAACCCTGCTCTAGACCAAAAATCAAGTTATTTCCCCATGGAATCCTGGTTACTTTTAGTGGAGAATGGTACATAGAGACCAAAATCTAGTTGCTAAAGGAGCTCATGTTACATTTGCCAATGCATAGTACTAGAAAAAGCACTTAAAAACCAGAAATCATATTGATATTTCCAATTCATATTTATCATTACAGTATTTTAAAATCTTTTAAATTTATACTTCTATCTAATTTATCTTACTTTGAAAATCCTGGTTCCTAACAACAGGAACATAATTCCTTATTTGCATTACTCTATAATATATATATATATAATATACATATTCACACACTATATACATAGTATCAATATCACTGTAGTATCAATGTCACTATTAACAATTAAACTACTGAATAAGGATTACAATTATAGTTCTTTTTGTCCCACCAAAGAACTGATAAAATATTCTAAAGTTATCTGAAAAATTATTTTACCTGTGTGGTTATGTTACTATTTTGATATACAGTTAGGGTCATTTCTTTCTCTTTTTTTTTTGCAATTTTAGGTTTTGCTTCTTTTCTTTTTTGATTTAACTTTGTATTTCAAAAAACATTTACAGGCTCACAAGTCAAAGCTATCTAAAAAGGCATATTCAGAGAAACTGTTTCCTTCATGCCCTTTAGCCCCATTCCCTGTTGTTAACTCTAGAGGTAATAAATTTTGTTTCTGATTTATACTTTTAGCAAGTTTTTAAAATTTATTTTTATCTTTATTTTCATTTTTTTGTTTTTGAGACAGAGTCTTGCTCTGTCACCCAGGCTGGAGTGCAGTGGCGCCATCTTGGCTCACTGCCTCAGCTTCCTGAGTAGCTGGGACTACAGGCGCCCGCCACCACGCTAGGCTAATTTTTTGTACTTTTAGTAGAGACGGTGTTTCACTGTGTTAGCCAGGATGGTCTCGATCTCCTGACCTTGTGATCTGCCTGCCTCGGCCTCCCAAAGTGCTGGGATTACAGGTGTGAACTACCACGCCTGGCCTCTAGCAAGTACTTTTTGTAAATACATATTTATTTTTTCTTTATTTCCCCTCTCTACTTACAATATAGGTAACATACTATTAACAGTCTTCTACATCTT